TAGCTAGCTAGGACATCATAATGGATTGTAATTAATACATGTCTATTTTTCTATATGCATGTGTACACATTTTCTTTAATGTAAATATATATATACACACACACACACACACACACACACACACACACACACACACACACACACACACACACACACACACACACACACACACACACACACACACACACACACACACACACACACACACACACACACACACACACACACACACACACACACACACACACACACACACACACACACATATATATATATATATATATATATATATATATATATATATATATATATATATATACATACATATATATATACATACATACATACATACATACATATATATAAACCATGCAGCAACAGGGCCATGCAAAAAAAAAGGTCAGCTCGATCTTTAGTCCCGGTTAGTGTTATCTTTAATCCCGGTTATTTCACCCGGGACTAAAGATAGCGATCTTTAGTCCCGGATTAGTAGTCCCGGTTTGGAAACCGGGACTAAAGGGGGGTTACGAACCGGGACTACAAACGCTTTCTCCACCAGTGACATCTGGTACGTGGAATCATGCTGACGTCATTTATTCCGTTGGAATGGGTATATTGTTTTGTTGTATTTTTTTTAAAAAAAATTGGGATGAAATTACATCCATAAATGTTTTAATGTTTAAAATATCAATGTTCTGGCCACATCTTCTAGCCGGATGGTTTGGATATACATTACAGGTTTCTATACTCAAGTTAATTCTATTTCTTTTAGTAGGTATACATGCTTGGCAATAATTGTTTCTCCTGCATGCACATATATGTCTGGAAAGGATAATAACGTGTATCAATTGTTTCCTTTTTAACCTCTTTCTAAGTTATTACCATAAGCATTTCTGGCTAAACAGATAAGGCCGTCCATATACATAGCCAGGCAAACGGCGTCCAGGTGCATAGGAAATGCTCATACTATTTCAGAAGAAGAAAGTATTAATTGAAGGTAGCACGTATATACTCTCTTTAGTATGGCAAAAAAAAAAAAACCCTACTACTTCAATGGTTCTTGCCATCTGTATCTGTACTAAGACTGAGTTCCTTCAAAAGGGCTCCGGTAAGCGCAACACAACGCACGGGCTTCTCTCTGCTACACTAGCTCTCTCTCTCCTGTGCAGAGCTAAGCGGGAGGCATTAACCCCCCGCGTCACGCGCAATGGGTGAGGCAGCGGCGGACGAGCGCGGCCTCGCCGCCGCCGCCGCCGGGGAAGACGAGGAGGAGACGTCGCCGATCGAGGAGGTGCGGCTGACGGTGCCGGCCGGCGACGACACGGCGCTGCCGGTGTGGACGTTCCGGATGTGGAGCATCGGCCTCCTCTCCTGCGCGCTCTTGAGCTTCCTCAACCAGTTCTTCTCCTACCGCACCGAGCCGCTCATCGTGACGCAGATCACGGTGCAGGTGGCGTCGCTGCCGGTGGGCCACTTCCTGGCGCGCGTGCTGCCGCGCCGCGCGTTCCGCGCCCCCGCGCTGCTCGGCGGCGGCGAGTGGAGCCTCAACCCGGGCCCCTTCAACATGAAGGAGCACGTGCTCATCTCCATCTTCGCCAACGCCGGCTGCGCCTTCGGCAACGGCAACGCCTACGCCGTCATGATCGTCGACATCATCCGCGCCTTCTACAAGCGCTCCATCTCCTTCGTCGCCGCCTGGCTCCTCATCATCACCACCCAGGTAGGCATTAGGCAATATTGTCAAACCATTTGCAGCCTAATCCATTTCAGATTTGCAACATTTGATCAGAAATCTCATGTTCTTGCGATTAACCGAGCATGATGATTTAGGTGCTTGGGTACGGGTGGGCGGGGCTGATGCGCAAGTTCGTGGTGGAGCCGGCGCACATGTGGTGGCCGGGGACGCTCGTCCAGGTCTCGCTCTTCCGGTGAGTAGCTACTAGCTCGCTTCACCTTCACTGCTCCTGCTCGCGTTCTACTTCAGTTTCTTCTCCTCTCTTTGTTAATTCTTCTCAACAGAAACGGTAGTAGGTTTTACGCTACGTTCTTTTTGCCATCACAGTTACAGTCTGGGTTTTGGTTGGAATTCCGGAGGCCGGCGAACATAGCATTGCGCTCTTTTAAATAAGTTTTTACGTCATTTCTCTTTTTTTTCTCTCGCCATGCTTTGATTGGTTTGTCCTAAGTCTCGCGTCGCGCATGGCTTGCCAGTTGCCACACCTATAGTAGTAGCACCGTACTACAGCTTTTACTTTTTTGTGATGTTTTTTTTCCCGTTAGACATCGATAAAGTCGATGGAGAAAGCCGTGACCTGACGAAAAAAATGGCAGCGATGGAACCAAAAACCCAGGTTCTTTGTTCTTCTCGTCGTTCTCGACCATTTTCAGAAGAAGCATGTACGTACACTATATAGATATACTAGTACAAAGTGTTGGCCCAGTTCAGATTGAGAATCTGATCTAACCCGGAATTAAAGAAACAAAAGTGGTGGCGATTAAATTGAGAGAGAAAGAGAGAGCATCTGGGGCATTGAGTACCTAGCCAGGCTGCCCAGGCAGTGGGCATTTTCAGTTAGATGGTCTCTTTTTCTCTCTTGTCATCGACACTGATGTGGGAGCCCCCACCATGAACGTGGGAGGGGAGGGGTACACACTGGATAGGTTGATGGATAAAGCAGATGATGATGGAATCCCCGCAATTATTGCGCTGCCAGATTATGAGTGATTGGAGAAAGATATACTCCTGATTCTCCAATGCAAATTGGATTCTTTATTTGGAGGGGTGTTCAGACTTGAGATTTCATAATTCTGTCTTTGCACGCTCCGATGACACGTTTTGTTTTAAAACATGCACTGACAGAAAAAAAAAGACAAATGAAAACACACTGTTGCTTTTCCCAATAAGATTTGGTAGGAGTTATCTAGCCGACTGATGGTGGATTGGTGGTGCACGCTGCACGCATAGTTTAGAATAAGGAGGCCATCGATTTCGTTTAGACTCAGTGATTGCTTAGGAGATGGACTGATGATGGTGCACGCATGGTTTATAATAAGGAGTTAAGCCCGTTAAGGAGGGGATCGAGTTTGTTTAGACTCAGTGATTGCAGATCAGATAATGATATTCTCCCTGAATTAGACCAAACGCTGTAATTTTGACTTTAGAAAGAAGGGCTTCTTTTTACTCACTATGTGGTTACAGTCCACATGTCTATCCTCTGAGGAGAAAAAAGGTTTCTAGATCAACCTGTAACTCAACTGCCATTATTCACACCAAACGGTTTCTCTGAATCTAGCCGACCCATCCTTTGATTTTGCAGTGGCAACATTGTACCGGTAAGGCTCACGTAAGCTTGGCATTAATCATCTCTAGTGTCATCAGAGATTCCAAAATGTCCTACTCACTGACCAGTGAAATCCATACGCCATTTTAGTTGAATAATTCTGACGGTCTCCTAATCCTGCGCCTTGTTTTGCAGTATTCTAATTTGCCTCTCTTGCAAAATATTCTTTTCCTCATCAATATTTTGGGACGGAGGTAGCAGTGAAGTTAGTACCTCTTCTGAAGGAGACACATTAGCTACAGACACAGTAGTTAAGCTATAGTACTAGAGATTAGGTATGTTACCATTACGTTTACGTCGCTCCGACCTTAAACTTATACAGTGTAATGTCAAGTTGTCACCCCATCTCGTCACGTCAACTGATCCCGTTCTTACCGGATTAATTTAGATTAATGATCAGGCTGGTACATCCGAAAACGAACAACAGTAGTTTTTTTTAGATGATGGAATAGAATAACGAACAACAGTAGTAGCAGGCAGCTTTCAGAAAACGTTGATTCTTTGGACTCATGCGATACTTCCACATTAATTCAGCGAGAGTCAAAGTCCAATGAACGAAGCCAAAATGGACAGGGCGATGCGTGGGTGAGATGGGTACGGTCGTTTTCTTCGTCAGCGCTAGACAGAAGAAAGGGCGTGGTTGGGCTCCAGTTTTCTGCAGGCGACTCCGGCGCCGACGCGCGCGATGTGAACGCGCGTGTGGCCGCGACGCCTAACTTGCACCGGCGCCTGCGCGGCGAGATTCAACGTGAGTCGAGACGACGAGACGGATTGGGAGACTTTCTGTTTGAAACATTGCCCGGGGGGGCGTATGGTGCGGTGTGCGTCGTGCAAGCGTGCAACCCAATTGCTGGTCCAAGGGCTCCATCCATGCACAAGTTGCCCGGAAAAGACGGGATTGCTGCACATGCTGCTTCGCAAGCCCTCGCGTTTCATCATGTGTGTGGTGAGTCATGGAGTTGGGAATGGAGTACTGGATGGGATGCATATCCTTTTCTTCTGGACGAGGAGACTGCGGGCGCGAGGACAAAGCCAATCAATCTGCTGCCTACTGCGATTTTATCTTTTGTTTCTGTGGCTGCATCTGCATACGACATGCCGTCTCGTCTGTATGCACGTAGAGGACCCAGCATCACATAATAGTAGTCTGCGTAATAATAACATTCAGAACAACGTTGGGAATAATAGTATACTCTTGTCAATGGTGATGGATGAATCATGCAGCTAGAACAGTAGTACTAGATAGAACACAACAGCTCTGTTGCATAAAGTACTTATAACTAGTACATATTGCCTAAATATTTGATATTTTTATGACGTCGTATCTAATCTTTACACATCTCAATGTTTGTCTAAGGGCACTGCACGAGAAGGATGAGTTGCCCCATGGGTCACGGCAGATATCCCGCTCCAAGTTCTTCCTGGTGGCGCTCATCTGCAGCTTTGCTTGGTACGCCGTACCGGGTTACCTCTTCCCGACGCTGACATCCATCTCATGGGTGTGCTGGGTCTTCTCCAAGTCCGTCACGGCGCAACAGCTGGGCTCCGGCTTGAAGGGCTTGGGCGTTGGGGCCTTCTCGCTCGACTGGACAGCTATCTCTTCCTTCCTCTTCAGCCCGCTCATCTCGCCCTTCTTTGCCACCGCCAACATCTTCGTCGGCTTCGTGCTCTTCCTCTATGTGCTCGTTCCCATAGCATACTGGGGTTTCGACCTGTACAATGCCAAGACATTCCCCATCTTCTCCTCGCACCTATTCATGTCCAATGGCACGAGCTACGATATCACAGCCATCGTGAACGACAAGTTTGAGCTTGATATCGATGCTTACAATAAGCTTGGCAGGATCAACCTCAGTGTGTTCTTCGCGCTCGCTTATGGTCTAAGTTTTGCCACCATTGCCTCCACTGTCACCCACGTCGGCCTCTTCTATGGAAAGTAAGATATTCTCTGATCAGTACATAAATACATGAAACAATCACACGGTACATCTTCTGTATCTGAACCGGACAAACAAATGTGCAGGGAAATCTATCACCGTTTTCGAGCTTCGCAGAAGGAGAAGCCTGATATCCACACTAGGCTGATGAAGAAGTACGATGACATACCAGTGTGGTGGTTCTACTCACTGATGGCGCTTTCGATGACAGTGGCACTTATCCTCTGCACTGTCCTGAAGCATGAGGTCCAGCTTCCATGGTGGGGTCTACTATTTGCCTGTGGCATGGCCTTCATCTTCACCCTACCCATCAGCATCATCTCTGCGACAACCAACCAGGCAAGCTATGTTAGAATTTGAGGCATTTCACTAGAACAGAACTGTCAGTGCACTCTACTGCATTTTAATAGCTTAAGTAACAAAATCTGAAAATGATTTAAAATGTCATCTACAGACACCTGGTCTGAACGTCATCACGGAGTATGCCATTGGGTTGATAATCCCTGGTCATCCCATCGCCAACGTCTGTTTCAAGGTGTATGGCTACATGAGCATGTCTCAGGCTATTGCCTTCCTCTCAGACTTCAAACTTGGCCACTATATGAAGATTCCCCCAAAATCCATGTTCCTAGTTCAGGTATAAACAGAAGTCCCAACTCACTCATAAGGATTTGTTGACAACCATGTTAGCATGCAAGACGACATATTTTACTAACCTTGAGGGTACTGTTTTTACTCAGTTTATTGGCACAATTGTGGCCGGCACGGTCAACCTTGGGGTGGCATGGTGGCTGCTCGGCTCCATCCATGACATTTGTCAGGATTCGCTCCCAGCTGACAGCCCATGGACATGCCCCAACGACCGAGTCTTCTTCGATGCATCGGTCATTTGGGGCCTCATTGGCCCAATCCGCATCTTTGGACCACATGGCAACTACAGTGCCCTCAACTGGTTCTTCCTCATCGGCGCAGCAGGCCCTGTTATCGTGTACATCTTCCACAAGATGTTCCCAAACAAGAAATGGATAACACTGACTAACTTACCAGTGCTCATCGGCGCGACAGCCTCAATGCCACCGGCGACGGCTGTGAATTACAACTCTTGGCTGCTCTTTGGTACCATCTTCAATTTCTTCGTGTTCCGGTACCGGAAGAAGTGGTGGGAGAGGTACAACTACATTCTCTCTGCCGCACTCGACGCTGGCGTGGCTTTCATGGCGGTGCTGCTGTACTTCTCACTATCCATGGAGAACCGGAGCATCGACTGGTGGGGCACGGCAGGAGAACACTGCCCACTGGCCACATGTCCCACTGCAAAAGGGGTTGACTTGGGTCCAACAAGCGTTTGCCCTGTGTTCTAAGCTAAATCTCTACTTCATGCTACAAGGTACAGCTGCAGGATAGTTATGATCCATTCGAGTTATGTTTACAGTCTTTAGATTCCAGCTTCATGGAAGTAAATCCTCTGGTATGTGTAAAGGTTATAGGTTGATATTGCATCGCGCACAAGGCAAAAGAATTGAACAATGCTGGAACATAAATGCTGTAATATACCAGGTCATTTGGGCAATGCAAAGGCATATGTTGGTACTTGAATGTTTCAAATTTTCTTTTTACCAGTTCATACTATCGAAAACTTTACATCTCAAATCTAAGAATAACAGCACATTGACTCCACTGAAAATAGATTCGTACGGATAACTTAATTTCGGTTATGGAATGGATATGTTCTGCATGTGTACAGCATATCAGTATGGTCTCTCCAACAAAGACGAACTGAATATTACGATCTAGAATAAGCAAGAACCCTAGATTGTTGTAGGACGCGAGCTTCTCCCAACCTCAAGGGACGCGGCCGCGGTGGAGGAGGCCGAGGGTGTGGCGCGCGGCGTCGAGGAGATCGCGGATGTTGTGGATCGACCTCTCCTCGGCGGCGAAGATGAAGATGGCGCGGCACTCCGCCTTCTTCGCCAGCCGCGCCGCGTGCCCCAGCGGCAGCGCCGGCGAGTTCAGCGCCCGCAGGATCTGCCTGTACAGCGACAGCACCACCGGCCGGCTCCGCGCCAGGTCCTCCGCCGTCGCCCAGATCATCCCCCCACCGGCCTTCGCCATCCCTCCGCCGCCGACGCAATGGCCACTGGGAAGAGAAGCGGAAGCGTGTGCTTTGGTGAGCGAGGCATTGGGTTTTGAGGCCCAAGAGAAGAATACCCACGTTGCCAACCTCCCCCCCCCCCCCCCCCCTTTTTTAGGGATAAGTCCATTTTAATCCCCCAAACTTTTACCTTTGTCTAAAATACACCCCTAAACTATAAAACCGGGTATTTGACACCCTCCAATTATCAAAACCGTTTAAATGACCCCCTCGTTTCAGATCAGACGGTTTTAGCCTGCATGGCAAATGACATGGCATTCAGATTAATTGTTTTTGGGTCCAATCTTCTTTTTTTTTTTTGACATGCCATTCAAAGTCTTCGGTTGTGCAAATGGAGCTAGGCAACCGGTGATTACGGAGCTAGCTCACGGACACCGGTTGTGTTGATCCTGTTCTTCGCATCCATCCATTGCCGCTGGTCGCACCGTCCTCGACTTCCGCGTCCATTATCTAGCGTTGCGTTTCCCTCTCTTCCCTCCCTCTACTCACTCGCCGCTGAAGAGCACAGTAGAGCCAACCCCCTCGGCCAAGATTGGAGAAGATGGGGAGATGAAGGGGTGGGGACGAGCACGGGGATGAAGGGACAGGGGCCGTGGCGTCGCTGTTGCGGCGGAAACGAAGACAGATGCGCGTTTGTTGTCGCTGGTGAGCTCGAGCTCCTCCTCCCCGAGTGACTCCTCATCCTCAACCAGGCGGCAACGATGCTATGCTGGGATGACTCCTCGTGCGTGTGGCTCCGGCGAGGTCCGCGTCTCCCGCGCGGGGAGAACAGGCTTGTGATTCGTGAGGGAGGCGGCAATGATCTCCTCGACCTCTCGCTATTCCAGGCGCCGCCCCATCAGATGATATCTCGCGTCATCGCTCGCCACTCGCCACAGCATCTCCCCCCTCGGCATGGATGTTGATGGATCATCAAGGGGGTGGGGGTGGTGGGTGGGTGGAGCCGTGGAGGGATGGAGGGAGGGAGAATGCCGGGGACGAAGCTGACGGAGGGAGGGAGCTCGCCGGCTTCTCAGCGAGCTTAGGGGAAAAAAGGAGGATTGTTTGACTGGTGAGACCTATGCTGACATGGCGTCCAAAACAAGTCTAAAACAGCTTTAGGGGGTAAAATGTCCGGTTTTGATAGTTGGAGGGTGTCAAATACCTGGTTTTATAATTTGGGGGTGTATTTTAGACAAACATAAAAGTTTGGGGGGTGCAAAATGGACTTATCCCTTTTTTTTAAACCAACAACCAAGGAAAGGGAAACAAAAAAAACCTAGACAACGATATCCCATTGGAACCGGATACCCTTCTATGAGACAGTACTTAATACCTGATACCTGTTGTGGTACTAGCTGCATGGTACCTGATACCACCCGATACCTGTGATACCTGTTACCCGATACCTATGATACCTAGGACCTGATACCTGTGATACTCGTGCAAGAGAATAGTTAATATGCCTATCCCGTTGCAACGGGATCCCGTTTTGTAGCAGCCCTCAAAGGGAAATTTATGGTGGCTGAGTAGGATGGCAAGCATCAAAGATGGTGAACTGGCAAAGGACTATTCTGCTGTAAGCTCTGAAGAGTTTGTACAAGAGGGCAAGCATAGGAAGGTGACGGGCCAAAGTGTTACCTGCCAGAAAACCTGAAATGGGTAAACGGGAGCTGGAAAATCAGGAGGCTGCAATCCTAGTGGCCCATGCGCAAGAAAATGCTGAAATAGATGGGATGGAGCATAAGCATCAGTAGGCTGATTTACCTAAGGCCGATATACCTGAAAGATTTACGATGGCCGAGCAAAGAAAACAACGCAAGCACCCGGACAGCGAATTGTCGAAAACTCATCTCCCAGGAAGCCCTGTAACCATTCCTGTCCGCACGGCCACGATCTACTGATTCCTCCTCCAAAGAATCCATATTTACATTCATCTGATGATGTGTTCGATTCAAAGAATGTAAATATGGACATGGGATGCCAGTGATGTTTTTTATTCAGCTTACAATTTGGAACTTGCCATCTTTCAGATATCGTTTACAATTGTTTCCAGATTTTAAGATTGTAATGATCACCTTTTTGTTGTTGTTTTTGTGCCGTTTCGACCTACATTTGTATTCTAGGTACTTTTATGATGCAAAATTTTCTTATATGCAAAACAGTTGTATTCTTAGCTCAAATCAAGCATTCCCAGACTCTTGCTGCAAACACACTTTTGTATCCAATTTCCTGTGCAAACATGGCCTATTGAACACCATGAATTTCTACTTGAACTGTTGATTTGTGGATAAGGCTTAAGCTTAGTTGGACCATCACCCTCCATCAAGCAGCACAGAACATTGGCAAAAGTAGGCCATATGCCTCACTGCATCTGTTCCACCTGTGGTTACATCAACTACTGTATCAATGAATGGTAGGAGCATATAACCGCATATATTCTCCTTATGCCATGTCCCCGACTTATTCTTCAGAGGCAATTCAAACGATTAAGATTTAAGAACTCACCAAAAGATTGCATAAAGTTGCAGATTACAAATACTAATTACTGCTGCTTAAGTAGCTGCGTACGCAGTCGCATATTTGAGAGCAAATACAGCACAAAATCTGATCCAAATTCGCAAAGCAAAACGGATCAGAAAAAAAAAACATAGCTGACAATAATTGATGCTAGAAGTTTACAGCATCCTCAGCCTCCTGTTGCCACCGTTCCCTCCGTCCCTGAAGCTCGACATATCTTTGAAAAACAAGGCACAAAAAAGGCAAAAGAATCAACCCAAGTACACAATAAAGAATCAAACATTTCAGGTGTAGCTAGTGCAGTGCAGTACAGAATGAATCTGAGCGTACCAGCGGAGGAAGGGTCGTGGGAGAAGAGGAAGAGGAGGAGGAAGCAGAGGAAGGTGAGCAGCGGGATGAGGTGGATGGTCCTCTCCTCCCTGACCGACCGGCCCTTGGCCGCCGACGACTCCTCCGGCACCGCCATCACCTCCGCCGCGTCGCTGCCGATGCCGATGTTGCCGCCGTCGTCGTGCTGCTGCTGCTTCGGCCCCGGTGAGAGGCTAAGCTGCCGATGCATTTTGGCTCTTTGTAGGCGGGGGAGCGTGGTGGTCTCTGATCTGAAATGAAGCTGTCGCGTTTGGTCGGAGGCGACTAGCGCATAGGACAGTTAGGCCGGAGAGCGCTTAAATGCGGCGGAAATGGGAGCGGGCGTTCGGTCTGGTGTTTGAATTGGAATGCAAGCAAAGGGGACGCAAATACGGTATCTTCGAGTTCAGGTGGATAAAATTTTTGGAGATGCCGAGTTGAAGCTGGTGGCCAACTGGCCATTTGTTTGTGGAGCCTGCACTGCAACCGTCATGCATGGCGTGTCGGTGGGAGACGGAAAGGAGAATACTAGCCGAGTAGGATAGTGCGACACCAACGGCCAGTAGGTGGAGGTCCCCGTTTGTCTCTCGAGATTACAACAGTGGACGCACACGTACACTAGCACACAGCCACGCAAGCGTCACGCCTGAGATTGCACACTCGTAGTCATCGAAGTCTTAGTGCTATCTCCGTACTACCGTACTAAATTAGTGACCGCTTTAACTTTATTAGTACAATGTTTGAGTATTCGTCTTATTTAAAAAATTGTACAAATATACAAAATTGTTAAGTTATTTTTGATAATAAAGCAAGTCACAGATAAAATAAATAATAATTTCATAATTTTTTAAATAAGATAAATGATCAAAAGTTAAAAAAATACGCAAAGCAATAAGTATTTTGGGATAGAGGTATTAGTAGAATGCGTGCATAAGACGGCATGCAAATACTCGTACGCTTTTCTTGCCTCAATACGCGTTCAACTTCTGCCAATCTGGCAAATGGCAAATCTGCCACAATACTCCTATGTTATACTACTTCGTTCCTTTGCCTCAAAAAAATACTACTACTTCGTTCCTAGTATAAACATTTCTAGATATCAACCCACCGATTCCAATCTTGGGCCTCTTGACCCAGGCGTGTGCTGCGCGTGCAGAAGATGCCGCAACCCGCGCAGAATAAGTTCACCAGTCATCCCTCAACTTTACGTCGAGTCTTTACGACAGGGTAAAGTCCATCACCGATCCCTAAACTTGTACCGTTGTGTCATCCCGGTCCCTAAACTCGCAAATCGACCGTTCAGGTCCTCAAACTTGTTCGACTGTGTCATCCCGGTCCCTAAACTTATAGATCACTCGTTTAGGTCCTCCAACTTGTTCAGTTGTGTCACCCCGGTCCCTAAACTTGGATTTAAATATCATCTGGGCCAAATAGGACAGTCTAAAGACTTTATATTTAAAAATAATTCATAACTTTTTCATGTGAACTCTAATGAAGACAAACTTTATATCAACCTTGTAGCCCTCGATGCGAACTAGAACTTTGTAGTTGATTTTTTTTAATTTTAAGTCATTTTTTGTCCCAAAATGTAACTTTAAAATTAAAATTTCAAAATCTATAAACATGACACAATATTTTGGGACCCTAAACAGTTTTAATTCAAAAACTTTTCAACTACAAAGTTGTAGGTTGCGTCGAGGACTACAATTTTAATATAAAGTTTGTCTTCATGAGAGTTCACATGTAAAAGTTATGAATTATTTTTGATATAAAGTTTTTAAACCGTCCTATTTAGGAACCGGAGTGACACAACTGAACAAGTTAGAGGACCTAAACGTCGAATAAGTTTGAGAACCTTAACGGTCGATTTGCGAGTTTAGGGACTGGGATGGCACAACGGTACAAGTTTAGGGACCGGTGATGAACTTTACTCTTTAGGATATCTCTAATCTCAATACAGAAATCTTCAAAACCTTGTAATTTGGGTCCTATAGAAGTATGGTTCTATGGTTACGCTGATGTGGCATCCTAGTCATCAAAAAATAATTAAAAAATTATGGGCCCACTTGTAAGTGAGAAGAAAAAAAGTGGGGTTCGCATATCTTCTTATTCTCTTTTCTTCTTCTCTTCTCTTCTTTTCTTCAGCAAGAGAGGCTGCTGGCGGCAGAGGGCAGAGCGATGGCGGGCTAGTGCGACAGCGGGCGGAGCGGCGGTGGGTGAAGCAGGCAGGGGACGACAGTGGATGAGTGTGGTGGGTGGAACGACGGCGGGTGAAGCAGGCAGGAGGCGGCAGCTGCTGAGAAGGTGGAGGGAGCTCACCGGCCTCCCACAGTCCCACTCCCTCCGTCATCGGCGCCCCCCTCTCTTTCTGCGACGGCATCCCATTAGTGTCGTCCTCAATCCTTGCCTCCGATCGACAGGCATGACCGGCGAGCCTGTGGGATTGACAAGAATGACAATGCGAGGCGATGTCGACATGGTGTCGGACCAGCAGACGGACCACCTCACCCACCCGCTGCGACACCGACGCGCTCGTCATGCGGTCCGCAGCCATCACCGGCCATGCGCTGCTCCGCCCATGCCTCGTGCCCCATCGTCGAGCCGCTCGCCTTGTCATCCCTATTGCGGTGGCATCTGCCATCAGCGTTGATTCCGAGGGCCGTTGCCAAAGGGCGGAGGCAGTCCCGCGTGGTGGGAATCTCGTTCGCCGCCGCTGCCGCGACCGCGACAGCGCGCCCACGAGCTCGTCCACCGCGGGGGCCGTGGAGGCGTTCGCCGCCTCCTCTGCAGCAACGCCCCTCGAGTTCTTTTTTCTTTCACGGTTTGTGATAGTTGAGGAGTAGAGATTTCTGGTATTGCGGAGTAGGCACCATAGACAGACTAGATGTAAAGTTTAGGGATGTCAGTTGAACTTATTCCCCACCCGCTCATATCCAGGCAGCCAAAAGTGAATAACCGATGCCGGGATTGTCTATCTATTTGTCGGGTGATTTCTAAGAAAAAATCACCCAAATTTTTTCTACCCTTAAATTTACATCCAACGGACCACAAAAGAAAATAAAAATACATATTTAGTTACACAATACTTTTATCAAAATTACAATGCACTTACATGTCATATCAACTGAATTTACAAATGTAATTTTAGTTATATAGGACTATAATTATATATATTAAAGAAAATAACAAATAGATATTTACTTACACAACATTGTTATCAAAATTATAGTGCACTTACATGTCATATCAATTGAATTTACAAATGTAATTTTAGTTATATAGGACTGTAATTTTATATTTTGAAGAAAATAACAAATAGATATTTACTTACACAATATTATTATCAAAATTACAGTGTACTTACATGTCATATCAAATGAATTTATAAATGTAATTTTAGTTATATAGAACTGTAATTTTGTATTTTATTTTTATTTTAGTTTCAATTGAGAGAGAACGAGAGAGAACAGCGTGCATATCAATTTTTTAGAGCGCAAAAAAAGAAATTAGCGCCTCTAACCGTCCGACTGAATCCTATGCGGATTCCCAGCGCTATATGTGCACGAATCTTGGCACTTATCGAACATCCTAAAAAACGACAAATCCGAGAGAAAAAATCACGCGACAAATCTATAGCAAAATCTACCGATGCCCAAAAGGCTCCTCCTTTTGGGAAACTTCCCCAAAGGCCGCATAGATCACGACAGCCCAATCCGGCCCATATTATATAGGGGAATAAGTTCACCGAGGGTCCCTCAACTTAACAGCGAGATTTTTTAAAGTCCCTTAACCATAAAACCAGAAATGTGTATCCTCAACTCATACAAATCGTTTAAAGGAGGTCCCATGGCAGTATATGTGGGTGGTTTCGCTGACGTGGCATCCTATTCAGCAAAAAAATAAAAAAGTACGTGGGGTCCACATGTCAGTTGCACATTTTCTTTCTTTTCTTTTCTTTTCCTTCTCTTCTCTTTATCTCAGCGATGGGCGGGCAGCGGGCGAGCGCGGAGGCGTGCGAGCACGGCAGCCGAGCGACGGCGGGCGAGCGGCCGAGCACGGTGGCGGTTAGAGCGGACGAGCACGACGGCGGGCGAGCAGACGAGCGCGAGTAACCCTTACACCACAACGGCCATGGCGACCCGTGCCGCAGCTCGAGTAACGTCCATTAATTCTTCCTTCTGTCACATACAGATATTCTGGTTCTTTAATTTGTCTTTGCTTACCGTGATGAGCTCTGAATTTGTAGCCAATGGCGGGATCCATGGCAGCCTCACCGACATCATCATCGGCGTCGGTGTCAGCTCAACGCAGAAGGTGTGGCACAGCCTGCAGGCATTCAGTGACATCACCTTCGCCTACTCCTTCTCCAACATCCTCATCGAGATACAAGTGAGTGAGACTAACACCATTAGCTACAAAGTTAATTTGCTCTGTTTTTTTTTCTCTAACCAAACCTTGTTTGCTCACCGCTGCTTGCTCTGTTTTGTTGTTTAGGACACGATCAAGGCGCCGCCACCGTTGGAGGCGAAGGTGATGAAGAGCGCGACGAGGCTGAGCGTGGTGACGACGACGGTGTTCTACATGCTATGTGGGTGCATGGGCTACGCGTTGCCGGACAACCTCCTCATGGGGTTCGGGTTCACCATCGTCGTGCACCTCGTCGGCGCCTACCAGGTGTTCGTCCAACCAATCTTCGTCTTCGTCGAGCGCTAGGCGTCCTGCCGGTGGCCGGACAGCACGTTCATCGCCAAGGAGCTCCGCGTGGGGCCCTTCGCGCTCGGAGTTCGTCTGCCTCACCACCGTTGTCGCCATGCTCCTCCCTTTCTTCGGCAACGTGGTGGGCTGAGTAGGCTGGCGGAGCTCGCCCACCACCGCCACGCTCCTCCTTCGGCCACCTCCGCCGTAGCGGCCCCCTCCTCCGCCTGCCGTGCTCGTCTGCTCGCCCGCCGCCGCCCATCACCGCTCTGCCCGCATCCCAGCGCCGCTCCATGCCGCCGCTGCTCCGCCCGCAAGCCGTGCTTGCCTGCCGCGCAAACCCGCCGCCGCGCTCGCCTGCCGCCCGCCCATCGCCGCTCCGCCCTCTCTGCTGCCGGCCTCAGTGGCAGCTCCAGGAACGAATCGTTGGGTGGTCCTACTTGGCGTCTCAAATTGTCACGATGTTACAAAATCAAGTCAAATATGTCAAATACAGTGGAAATATAATTTAAATATTGCAAGATAGCTACAACAATTAAAACCAACATTTAAGTTCGAAGTTGCGAAAGCTACAACATAAATAATTCAAATATCTTACAATATCTTGCTTAAAAAAATCTAAGTTTCAGTTTTCAATCACATTTTTCCATCCACATTTTTCATTCATATATGACCGATGTATTCAAAGTAAGACTAAAATGAGTAGCTCACCTATGCCGATGCACTAGCAGGGGCCGGTCGGCCGGGGGCAAGGGGCAGGGGCGCAGGGTAGTAGGGCACTAGAGGGAGGCTGGAGCAGAGCCGTCGACTCGTCGAGCAGGAGGGAGAGGGACCCGACGCCGACGCGCCGTCGCCGCCATGAGGGGCGGCGGGGGTAGAATCGTGGCCGCCGCCGGCCGGGGTGTTGCCGCGTCGGGCCCGGGCGGCCGATGGGCGATGGCGCTGGCACCTGCCGCTGCGCCGCAGAGCGAGAGGAGGAGGAGACGAGGAGCGGGGAGATCGGAGGGAGTGGCGGAGACGAGACAGAAGCGGCGACGCGACGCGATTTGGGGGAGGATTGGAGCGGAGCGGCGAGCGCGCCTGCGCGGTGCGCCTCTGAGGCTCTCCTCTGCTACCGACTAAACCTAGTCTCTGTTGGGCTTTCTTTCGTTTGGGCCGTCGCGGGGAGGGGGGAGGGGCTCCTGGGCCAAAATCCAGGGTGGTCCAAGGACCACCTGGACTACCCCTGGAGCCGCCCCCTGTATTGCCATGGGACCTCCTTTGAACGGTTTATATGAGTTTAGAGGTCCACATTTCTGGTTTTGTGGTTAAGCGGCATAAAAAAATCTCGCTGTTAAATTGAGGGACCTCTGGTGAACTTATTCCTTATATAGGCCGCCACACGTTCACCACAGTCCACAGTCCATAATTTTGGCCCGCACGCTAGCCATACATATGGGCCGCATTCCGCCGCACAGAGCGGAACGGCGCGTTAGGCAGCACGAATCGTCCGCCGGCGACCCGGCGGCATCCCGCGATTTTGCATGGGTTCGCCGCGGCGCGTCGGCGTCGGTCACCGCCAGCCATGAATTCACCGCCACGTTGTTGGCGTGGCGGCGCCCACGGCTGCTGGTTATTCATCTCCCAGGCGCACCCTTACCCCATTCATGATGTCAGTGATGGATAAAAAAGGCAGAGGATCTGAATAAATCGAAAAAAAAATATCCCTTCCTATCTACGTATGGAAAAAAAAAGTTAGAGTTTTCATGCGTAAGTAGTGGAGGCTCAAGCTCTGCCTCCACCGCTCTTATGGTAGATCTGCCTTTGCATGGCGTCGCGTATAAATCACGTGTATTTTGGGGTGTGTTTAGTTCACGCTAAAATTAAAAGTTTGGTTGAAATTTGAACGATATGATAAAAAGTTGGAAGTTTGTGTGTGTAGAAAGTTTTAATGTGATGGAAAAGTTGAAAGTTTGAAGAAAAATTTTGGATCTAAACTCGGTCTTGGTATTCAGAACTGCTTTTGCTGGTTTTGTGGATGCTAAGGGGCTGTTTGGTTCTTTACCCTTGCCAAATTTTTGGCATATTTTGGCACTACCAATTTTTTTGGTAGGGTAGAGATGCATGATACATATTTGAATTGCTACCAATTTAAAGCCAAATATTGATGATAGAGAGAAGAAAGTTCTAGATTAGTGCCAAATTGTTAATAGGCATTATCAATGATTTGGCTACAATTGAAACATATACTATCACTATTCAAGATACCAACAAATTGGTAATGTCACATTTTAGCTCCAATCCAAAATGGCCCTAAATTGCTCGCTCTTATGGTAGATCTGCCCCTGCATGGCGTTGCGTATATATAACATGTATTTTGGTATTCAGAACTGCTGTGGCTGGTTTTGTGGATGCTAAATTGCTGGTTCGAGCAGTATGATTTTTTTGGGTTGTTTTCTGGCCATTATCACGTTGGTAAGCTGCCACCCAGACCCAGATGAAACTGAGATATTCATCGTGTTAGGTCAACGTCGATATGCCATCGACACACAAGGTAAAAGTAGCTAAAAAGCAGGAGATTCATTGATCCAGAATTGCCTGGAGAGGAAAGGTGACACCTTTTCACTTTTACTGTAAAACAAAGCTATATTAGTTTAATTGTGTGGCTCAAAACACACATCAATCTTTCACCTTAGAACACACATACAGTAGAACCATAGAGACAAAGCTTGATAGTTGTGTCCCAGGATAGTTGATGCGCTAGTACCACTCAAAGCGTCCTTTCTTTCCCTCTCCTCTCTCAAGAAAAAAGCTTCTGAATGAATAGAAAAGCGGTTGCCTTCGAAACGCCGTAATAGTTACAGGCTTACAGCCTCGTACTTGTGATAATGTGCTCTGTCCATGTCCTGTCTGCTGGGCTCCGTTTCGTCACTACCCCGACGCTTGGCTTACAGCAGCAGGATGTCATCCATCCTTCCAACAGACTAGAAGAAGAAGAGGACACAGATCTTACCAAATTCCTCAAAGATGACAGAAACTCTGGACTTTATTTACCATGTCCAAATCCCGGCCTTACCTAATTTTCACCGATAATAACCGCTAGGCCAGTGGTTGAAGAGAGAGTTATGGGCAGGCCCTGTTGTTCAAATCCTACACAAAGCTACTAAGATTCTTGCCCGAGCCTTTTCTTCTGAATCACGTAAAATGAGTAGTAGTTGATGACTTAGCAATGCTCTCGGTCATATAGTTTGACATCCTGTCAGTAGTGTTGTTGTTAGATGTGGATTGAGACGTACGACACATTGACATTCAGTGTTGGTATCATCTGATTAGTTTTAAAGAATTTTTTCAATATGTGTTTTCAGTGCAAAAGGGTTTAATTTAATATAAATTTCTTATACAAGCATAGCTGTGTGTGTGTGTGTGTGTGTGTGTGAATATATATATATATATATATATATATATATATATATATATATATATATATATATATATATATATATATTTTAGTGGGAGAAGCCTCAAGGCTCTAGTTGTTGTACCTTAGTTAGCTTAAGCTTAAGCTGAACTCCTGCGAATGTGACCTAATTACCTTGAGGAAAAACCACTAAAATGACATTGCACCTATTATGATGCAACAGTGTTAGGTTTAAGTGTCAAGTTTTGAGCAGGAGTCAAACCAAACAGTTCTACAGGCTCCATCTACTTCTAAAAACGTATATACGACTGGAGAAGCCAAAGATCAAAGGACATTAATTAGGTCTTGGCTTCAGCGTCAATCAATTTGCTAGACTTTTCTGCCAAGAATTTTTTATGTGTGTGTGGTTATTTTGACGCGGCTAACTTCAGCTGGGGTATTAGGATTATTTTTGCGAACGATGGGGTATTCGGATTAACAAAAATCTGTACTGACGATCAGTCGCAGCCACTGTATCTGAGCGTTACAAATGGCAATCACGTCGGGGCTGTGCATGCAAAAATCAGCAGTACTCTTCTTTGTCAGAATCATCACGACACTAATAGCGATAGGGCCTGTGTTTTGAGTACTAAAGCATACTTGTCTGATTGGTCATTTCTCTAAGGAGAGCAGCAACTCTGAAATCTCTTTCAGGTGGTCAGCCAGCGTCAGATAGCTGCAAAACCCTGCATGATCTTTCACACTCATGTAGATTTATCGTTTCGGTTTGCAGGTCAGATTGGTGAAGCTTTTGTAAGCATATGCTTTTCTCTAAGTTGAGTGGACAACAAGTAGATCAAGTTGCTGTTTGATTGGGACCATTAGGTCAACGAATGAGTATATATAGTTATTAAATAATTTCACTAGTCTGTTTACGTCTGATCTGCTTATACACTAGCACAAAATTACACATGCATCCTTAAGATCTATCATCACCGATTACATCAAAAGGTTAAACTTCTTCAACACCCCGAGTGCAATATTTTTGCTGCGTCTACTTGTCTGATTCTTAACATTGCATTTTTCAAAATTATCCGTACAGATACTGACATGATTTTTGGCTTGTAATAAAATGGTCATAATGTTATAACAGCAAGAGAGGAAACTAAAAAAATTGGACACTAAGGCTGAACTTGGTGTCAATGGTTTTAACAAAAAAGCAACAATATATTTCATCCTTGTATATCAAACGGGGTAAAATGATAAGCTTGCTCGAGGAGACTAAAACCTGAGCTGATGAGGTGCATGCCAGCAAGTCCAAGCCACTGCGCTATAAAGCGCATCTCGGTGTATTGGAGTACCGGAGTATTAGAGTTGTCAAATATGAGAGCTGTCAAACAATAAGACAGAGTAATTAAGGTAAAATGACACCTAATTTGAGGGTGGAGTTGCACGTGCAAAACATCGCATTTTATTTATATGGGGGTAGCTTTCAATCCAGAAGCAATAAAGATGACATCAAAATTTGGCATACCCTGTTTTTCAAAAGAAAAATACATAAAACTCAAAATTCAAATATCTCGTTGTCAATGCTAAATGATCAACTCGACGATCTGTTCAGATTTCAGCAGAGAGAAAGTATGATATTATTGAAAACTGACCTTTGCCAATGGACTTCTACGAAGTAAAATTTCTTTATGTTAACTGGTCAAATGAAGAAAAAAAGATGAATGATAGATACAAGACAAGCAGCCGTGCCAATGATTCAATATCAGTTCCACAAGATACCAAAGCTAACGACCAACAAGATGCTTATTACACCGAAAAGTAATTGAATCTCGCAAAGATATGCTCATATAGTCATATGTGGCTTCAATTCTTTTACGGGAAAAACAAGCAGTACTGTTCTAATATTTTCATTCGAAATCTGTATCAAAGTAGACAGGAGCGAGAAAGCTCTTGTAGTTTCAGGAACAGTAGTAGATCTTACATGCCCCACAGTTCACGTCGAACTGATGCCAAACTCGTGCATACTGTGGTTTGGCGGCTCGGATAACTCGCTCTGAAATATCGAGATGCACTGAACCGGCTGCTTCTGCAGCGCACAGGTCCTCGCGTTGGACTAACCCTGTTTGAAAAACAAGCCCCTGTTCGGGTCATGCATACACACCAGGATGCAGGGCAGTTCAATGAGACAATGACTAGAAACAATGTTAACCAGATGAGCCCGAATGATCATGCATCCTACTCCCTCCGTTTCGAAATGTTTGACGCCGTTGACTTTTTAGCACGTGTTTGACCGTTCGTCTTATTCAAAAAATTTAAGTAATTATTAATTCCTTTTCTATCATTTGATTCATTGTTAAATATATTTTTATGTAGGCATATAATTTTACATATTTCACAAAAGTTTTTGAATAAGACGAACGGTCAAACATATGCTAAAAAATCAACGGTGTCAAACATTTCGAAACGGAGGGAGTAGCTTACTTTTAATCATCCAAAGGACAGAGAGCGATATAAAAGGGATGATTTGAGTTTTCCGATATAAAAACCGTGCATATATATAGAGGATGATGACATGACAACCACGGGGAAGTCATGCACGACAAGGTCGGGTCTAAGCTAACTTAACACACACATCCGAAAAAAAATGTCAATGTAGCAAATAGCCAATGGCTAACTTGCTAATTACACCGTGTCTACAGAAAGCACACATCGACTATTCGACCTAAGCCCAACCAC